AGTATATATACACGCCGGGCGCGGGGCGGAGGAGATGAGCAAGAAGCTCGGCTTTGTCCAGTATTAGGGTCATTATGTTTTTATGTATCTCTCCGGCGCGTTCATAAATCGAATCGGGCGATGACAGGTGCGCAGGCAGACCTCTCGATTTAATTCAATTAGATTTAGAAATTAAATTACGTTCCCTGACTTTTATTGACCCCGCGCGTTACGTATCACGAAACGCTCCTCGCGCGCCGGGAAAAGTCCGCTGCTAATGAGCGTAAATTTTTGTACGCGTCTGATGTCCGGGATAAGATCCGACGAGATGATCCCACGCGCAGTTGTACACCTACTACCGGATCGGATCGTCAGGCTGATCCCGGCAGCAGCTAATACCTATATAAGCCTCGCCCGCGGGACGCGCGAGGCGCAGAGAGTTAATCGAATAATCCGCAATAAGACACAGCGCGTTTGCACTCGGCGTCAACTCGAACATCGCCGCGCCTCCCTTATGAGTCTTATTTAACGCTAAGCGACATTCCGCCGGCGGTTTTTGCGCGACCGCCGCCATCCATTGAGGCGAAATATCCTCGCCTCGCCTCGCGTGTGACAGTTTTTGCGGTGATCTCCGAGAATCTCTCTCTCTCTCTCTCTCTCGACGATCACACCTCCGGCACGGGAAAACCTTAAGGTCTACTTAAAGGACCGACAAAAGAGGACTTCGCGGAGGAGGCGTGTCGCGCACGTACAGACGAATCGCCATGTTACATCCCGCACGAATGGACTCAATGGACCCAATTACACGTGCCCACAATCCGACGGGAAGACTCGTGTTTTTCAGCCGCGCGCTATTCGCAACGGACGTCTCTATTATGGATACAGGTTGGAATATTGAGTCTCGCGATAATCCGAGTCTCCGAGACGCGATCGCGAGTCGATTACGTTTAACGTCGTCGGCAGAATCATTGCCTACTTCAAGCATCGTAACGTTCGTTCGGACATGTGAAGAATATAAGTAGACAGGATATTTTGTTGTTTCAGGGAAAGCTCGCCGTGAGAATAAGAACGAACACGGTAAATAAGAAATGATAATACCGTAATAAACATACAGTTAGCGACAGCGTAAAGAAGGGAATTAGCATATCGCGAATTTACTTATATAGTATATTTATAGACGAGAGAGAGTATTTGTGCTACATATTACCAGAAATCTTCATTAATTTTCTTTTAGCTATGACACGCGAAGAAGCACTTTCGAAATCACCGGCGATGAGCACTTGTCGTCATAAAATTTCATCCTAGCTTGTCCTTTGCGGTTTTAAGTGTTACAACTTCCACGAACAGCACACATAAAAAAAGATATACATAATCTTTCAAGAATGAAGTAGAAATGAAATATATCAATGAGTACGCATCGCTCATGTATTATACATCGTCGTAATCAACATGTTAATTTTCAGAGATGGACTTATCTTAAGCGTGAAGGATGAATATATGAGATGCTGTTGAAATAGGCGAGGCTTTATGTAAAAGTAGGAGCTAATAACCTAACGGACGTGCACACGAGAAAACGGGGAGGGGGGGTTTCCGATTTGGGTGGTCTCCGGCGCGTTCCGAGTCCTATCTCTATTTTGTTGATATCCCCGCGAAGGGTACAGGTAACCGGCGAGATATCCGAACGGTGAACCTGCAAGCGGGTGTAGCCCCCTCGAAATGTTAATTCAGAATTTGTATCTGAACACGATCGACAAGAATTAGGCTACCTTTTACCGATCCCGATTCAACATCGATTTAGATAAAACAGTAATCCCCGAGGTGCGCTTAAGGCTGAATGTCGGTTCTCGCTGGAAGTCAGATAAAAAGCGGGTATACTTGTGGATGTACATATCTGAAGATTTTTCGAAACACGAGTAAGCCGGGTTTATAAATATGAAATCCACTTTAAACGCGAAGTCGTATTCCAAAGTGGTTCTTACAGATTACGCACTTATATTTCGTTCCCCTGCTATATATATATACATATATATTTGTGTGCACTACAAATTCCTTATCTAGAAATAAAAATTAAAAGCAAAAAACAGTCCTGTGGTCGAGTTATCAGTTCCATTTAGCACAAACTACTTGCAAGCAATTAGTCTTCTATCTTCTCCGCGGGACCGAGCCCTCTCATCTGCCAGCAATTCAAGGATCGTAATGCGACCGGCTGTCCGCCGCGGCGGCGTAGAAACGTTCCTCTTTTTTTTGCCAACCGGTACTTAATCGCGACGGAAGAGTCGAACAAAATGTCGTCTCGCATGTAGCGTAGAGAATACGCGACGTGTCTTTTAGGATGACATCGCGTTGCAGAAGTAGCGAAGGTTGTTCCTCGTGGAGAACAGAACGAGGCGGAATGGAGTGGAGTGGAGCAGAGCAGAGCAGAGGCGTCCTCGGCTCGCCCGCTCGGAGGGCCCGTCGCGGGGCACGCATACGCGGAACCGGGGGGCCCGACCGCGTATTCCGACCCGGTGAGGCCCACGGCGAGAGGCGTCGGACCCCGACACGCCGCACGTATTAGAAACGAATATAAATATATCGAGAGGAGCGAGAGACGGAGCGAGAAGGAGAGAGAGAGAGAGAGAGAGAGAGACTCTCTTTTCGCGGCGAGGAGGGGAGTTCGCGCGCGTATTGGTAACGTCGGAGAGAAGTTACACGCACCGACGCGGCTCTCGCACGCTCGCCTCGCCTCGCCTCGCCTCGCTCGCCTTCCTCCTTCCTCGCGCGCGCGGGGCCGGCACTCGCTCGCGGGCCCCAGCCTGGTCCCCCGCTCTCGCCCCGTGTCCCGCAGACACGGGGGCCCGCTGAGTCTCCCAGAGTATGCTCAGTGTCCGCTCGGCCTCAGCACGCCCCGTGCCGGTGGAAACGAAGGACGAGGACGCCGCCTCTCGAAGGTTTTAATGCGCGTCGCGTCGCGCCGCGCCGCACGTTAATCGCATTCCCTCACGTTATTTTCCGCGATCGCGTCGCACGGCCGATCGTTCATGCGACCAGCGAGTTTCCGCGTGGGTGTCGCGATTGAAAAGACGGTCGAATCGACTCGCAGAGATCTGTATACGCTACGCGAGGAGTGCTCCGAAGAACGGAGTGTTGTTGCGCGTTGATGAATTAAATGGACCGCCTGATCGACGACAGGCCACAAATGATCGCATTCCGCACGAGCCACGCCAATCGTCCACGGCTGTCATCCGCGCACGCGAGTTTTCGCGCATCTGCCGCGAAACTGTCGGGGGAGGGGGGAGGGACCCTGAAGAAGAGAACGCGAGTTCGAGATCGCGTATCTCAGATCCCGACCGACCGCCTTTGTACCGCGCGATAGGTGTCGCGTATTAAAACGTTAATCCGTGCTGTACTACCGGTTATACGTACAGATTGGTCCGCATCCCTCCGGCCCGCTTTACCCACCCTCTCTCTCTCTCTCTCTCTCTCTCTCTCTCTCTCTCTCTCTCTCTCTCTCTCTCTCTCTCTCGCCGACTCTCAAGCTCTCTTTCTTTCTCTTTATCTGTCTTTCTCTTTCTTTATCTTTCACGATCCTTTCCTCCCGGCACTCCTCGCCTCCTACGGCGACTGCTTTCGCCGGTGCGCACTCGATCCTCTCCCTTTTCTTGTTCTCTCTCTCTCTTTCTCTCTCTCCGATCATCCCGTCCCTCGCTCGCTCCTCCTCCCCCGCCATCGCCGCCGTCTCTGTCGCCCTTATTGCTCCGAGACCGAGGTCGCGGGTTCGCTCGCGTTTCGCGAGCGCGCGTGCCAATCGAGAGATGGTGAACGGGCGGCGCGATGAGCCTGAGCCTGCCGGTGGCGAGACATTCGCGAGACGACGGCGACGACGATACGGTGCCGCGGCATCGCGCGATTGAATCCTCTCCGTTCTCGCGGCTCCGCTCCGTCCGGGCGACTCAATCGCGACGCGCGCGAGACTCTATTCCTCGAGCAGGCGTCTCTATATATTCCGGCGGAGTGTCTCTGTATCGCCAGACGTCTCCGTCTCGCGGCGACGAAACGCCCCCGAGACTGTGTAACTTTGCGAATTTTCTCATTTCCTCCCTACGTCCGTTCTGCATCGACGCGAGGAGAATGACGCGCGCGGCGTGCGGCGATGAATCCCGACCGCGACGTTTCTGTCGAACGCGAACGCAGGCGTCGCGAGATAATGGAGAGAACTGATACGGAAGGTGCGTCGGCGAACGAGATCGGCGACGAGTGTCTTTGTGACGATCGACGAGGACGCACACACGTACACGGAAGGGAGAGAAAAGCGAAAAGCAACGTCGTATGAGGAAAGCTGAAGTGATGTGGATGGATATCGGCGATGACGTCTTGGTGACCGATTGGTGTCTATCGATCAGCTAGATTGACGTGAGGGAAGCAATATTGACGTGAGAGATGAGCCGGAGCGCATAATATCTCTCATTAGCTTTCCCCGAAGAAGACTCGGAATATAGGAGCGCGAGTATATCACCGTAAAAACACCGCCGCTCGCGACGGGCAGACGCCTATTTGACGAGCCATCGCTTCCAGGAAAGCCGGAAAGTCAGGCTCCAGACGCAATCAAGAGCGTATATACCACGAGAGGCATTTAATACGCTTATACCCCCGCAGAAGGGTTTCTACGTGGGAGCAAAAAGCCCGGTGTGTCTCGAGTGCCCCGAAGCGTCGCCTTATTAGCTTTTGCGAGGAGGACGAGCGGCGGCGGTCGCGAAAAGGGACATAATATACCGAGGCGGGAGGAGGAGGGGAGGGGAAGGAGGAAGGAAAGAGGACCCCGCCGGCGTTCCCTAGATTAGAAGGTCTCGGCCACGGCGATTATTACCGTCGGGGCCGGGGTTACGCCGCGCCGTGAAGCGCGCTTCGGAGAAAGAAACACCGCCGGTGGAAATCGATCTTAACGACCGCCCGTACCTCCGTCGTCGGTCGTCGCCGGTCCGGATGTGGCTGTTGCCGCTCGCCCGTCGCGTTCGCCGTTCGTCGCGTAAGAAGGAGGCAGCATGTCGAGCCTGGCGCGGAGGAGACGCACGGCCGTGCTCGGCTCGAAGCGATGGTGGCAAGGCGGATGCTGGGCCACCAGGAGCCACCAGGAGGCGTACCTGCGCAAGCTCTACGGCAGGAAGAACAATCAGGATGGCAAGAGTATCGGCGGCCAAAACGCCGACGAGGACGTCGCGGCGCGTGTCGCCGGCATCGACGCGCCGTGGGCGACGCCCGGTGTTTACGATCTGCCGACCATCACCGACGCCGAGCATCACTACCTGGACGCGTTTCTGAGAAATCGCGAGAACGACGTGAGCAGCAGCAACAACAACAACAATGACGACGACGTCGACGTCGGCGTTGTGGTTGGATGCCCGGCGCTGGCGACGTCGCGCGCGAGCCCGACGGAGAAGTGCGTGGAGTTCCTGAAGGGCGCCCATCACGACGACGGGGCCAGTTTCGGTCGCCGTGCCGCGGGAGACGCGGAATGCGGCCGCGTAGCCGACTGCGGTTCGATGCATTCGGGTTACGATGCGGCCGCGGCTTGCACGGAGTAAGTTTGCCACTGACGGTCGACGGAGAGGAATGTGCCTCGACATTTTTTCGCGGACGTAGAATTTCTCTTTACTTATACAGGGAAGCTTAGGGGATGCGACGTTATGAAAAAATGCTGTGTGCTGTGAAAAAAATGTGGAGCATTTACTCCGAATTCCGACTTCTAAGTGAAGAGACTGTGCGCGTGTATATTGCATTATGTCTGTGGAATATTTCCAAACAGAAAAATCTAAAATTCTTAATGTATTAAATTATCGAAATGTCAGTATCTTCTAAATTATGCTAATATATAAAAATTAAGCATTTCTTTGGCAGTTGTACTCGTATATTTTACAAGCATGAATAATATTGTATTCTGTATCTAATGTTTTAAAATGTATTTCAATGAAAGTCTGATTTGATTTACGAAGTGCTTGTCAAGATATTTAATACTACAAATTAGAAACATGTGAGAAAGCATAGAGCATTACATTCCACCAAGGAATTTTATTCATGCACGAGTTACGCTAGAATCGAGCGGCATCGCACGACGTATTCACAGAAATTAACGAGCCAGAAATTTAACGATGCCAGGATTTCGAGAAGTAAAAAGTCAAATGCCGTGTGACTGGACGTATTATTATTATTTTTTTATTGTTTGCTTTTATTACTCTGTCTACTTTCACGTATATATAGGCTTATCTAGAGCGCAATTTCCCGTTTAACAGCTTCATCGTCCTCGGCGCAGGAAAACGGCGTATTTACACTGCCCATAGCGAAACATGTATTAATCAAGAATCATTTCTCGGTTGTAGACATCGACGCGAGAGACACATCCTCGCATGAGCGTTTCCATAGCTTAGCGCTCGCTGATCCAGAACATGTGGAACAGCACGTGCGATTTCCTTACACGCTCGCGGAGCGGAGAATTTTAGATTGAGAATCGTATCGATTTATTCAAGCGAGGAACCAAGCGCTGTCAGCGGTAATAGTTGAACGATAAATAACTCATCATTCTATTTTGTCGCACATCGTGTTCAATTTCTCTCGTTACTACGTCCCCAATTTTTCCTTTTATATCTTTACACACGCCGTGACATGCACTAACAGGCGCAGAAATATTTTTAAATTAAGCAAACTTTCTGAATATCATATTTCGAATCTATAATTCTACACTCCAGAATTCTATGTATAGGCTACCCTAAGCTTAGGTAGATTTTACAGAATTTAGGTCTGTAATTAGGTAAGATTCCAGGCTCTAATAATAGGAAGATCCTAAATTGTAGACCCGTAATTTAATTCAGGGAAACATGAACGTAGAAACACAATTGCGCGAGTCCTCAAGGATTACTCTCGTGAGAATCTTTTTACATCTATAATCTTGAGATCTTGATACATTATACATTGTAGATTTATTATATTTAGCATATATTTATCCGCAATTATTATTTCTCATTAGACAATGTGGCATTATAAAAAATGTATACGGCTGGGTAACTTATAAATTCGACGCAGATGCACAACAACAATTACGAGAGATGACAGATATTGGTTATAACAACATTAGAATGGCTCTCTAAAATATTAAGAGGGATGCTTTAATGCCTATCAAGTACAATATAATTTAAAAAGAACTATTGATTATTAAAGTAATCATTATTATTAAAGATATTAATAAAATAAACCGTCGTACTTATAAATATCCTTTTCTTCTTACAGGAAAGTGTGCAGGAGCTGCAGGTGCCCGCGGGAGGAGCACCAGCGTGCTTCGACGGAGGCGGGCGGTCCCTCGGGACTCGGCCTGGGCCCGGGCCCGCCGATGGCGATGGCCATGGCCTTCCCGAGCGGCGCCGGGGGCGCGCCTCACCAGGAGCCGTTCAAGAGCCCGGTGCAAGCTGCGCCGGCCGGCCTGGCGCTGCAGGAGGCACTGATGCAGCATCACCAGAGGCACTCGCAGAGCGACGACGACAGCGGTTGTGCGCTCGAGGAGTATACGTGGGTGCCACCCGGATTGAGGCCCGATCAGGTAGAGCGGAATGCAGATTTATTTTATCTTAAATACCATAAAATCCCATCGGTCCATGGCGTAGTCTGAAATTCTTTAAAAAAAAATAAACGCCCACGAGCGTGTAGCGGCGTTTCAAAAAGGTTCAGGGATTAAAACAATGAGGCTGACTAAACCGGGTAAACGCGGGGCAAAAATTTTTACAAGACTTTATACTTTATGTGATAATAGAGATCAATTAAATTCCTTGTCGAGACACAAGAGAGAGAGAGAAAGAGGTGGAGGCCTTTCTGCCGTCGCGTATGCGTGTAATACGAGGGTGTCCCCGGTGATTCGTCTCGTCCGGGGGACCAGTGACCGCGACAGCGAGCCTCCAGATCGCCGGGACGATTACCGTCGTGAACGACGACGGCGCAGTGAGTCATCAGTCCGCGCTCGCCGGTGAAAGCTCTCGCCGGGTATAACGATGATAAAGCGTAATCGAGGGGTTCACCCGAAAAAGGGCATGAAAGGAGAGAATGCAGAGGATACAAAATGTATTAACCGTACAGTTGTACCCTTCGATCTGCCCTTTCGACAGATTCCATTCTTAGAAAAAGAAACATCCTCGGATCGTGCTGCCGCGGAGCGGCATTAAAAAAAGCAAAATTTTCTACTCTTTTAATTTTTTTTTTTTTTTTTTTTTTTCAAAATAACTTTGTGAAGAATTATCGAATGCCTTGAAAAACTGTCGTCGCTTTTTTCGTTTTCTCAGATTCCTCTCTAACGTAGCGATCGGTAGCACCCTCTCTCGTGCACCGGAATATCGTGCGTTGTGAGAAACGTCAAAAACGAAATCATTTTATTTAATTAAACGCACGATGGCGTGCAATCGGATAACCCCACGTTAGATCCCTCCCCGCCGAAGAAGCTAACTAACGCTCTCGTCGGTCATTAATTGGTTTAAGCGCGAGCGTTTTGCATCGGCACGGCGCGGAATAGAGTTCTCTTCCTCTCTCTCTCTCTCTCTCTCTCTCTCTCTCTCTCACTCACTCTCTTTGAATTAAGGAAATTTTATTATCATCATCTCGAATGTGCTATCTGAAATTGAAGAACGGTAGAGGGGATGCGCACTTTATATGTAAATAATATAAAATTA